TCGATCCTTCTCTCATCACCATTGGATCCAAGGTCAAGGTCTCGGACCAAGTCAATCTGCATGAGGAGTTGTCCAAGCAAGTTGTTTTGGTTGTCTACTCTTTGTGTCCAGTAGTCGACTATAAGACGGTGGTATCCTTAACTATGTGGATTATGATGAGAAAATTGTGTGGAGCCCAATTGCACGTGGGCTAGTATTTCATTGGAGGTGTACGCGAGAGTTGGGAATGTCAAGCAAGGTGGCAAATGAGGGAATGGTCGTATTTGCTCCACAACCGGGCCATAGGTGGCAGCGGCGCCAAGATTGCCGTGATGGGAGGTTATGGCCCCGTCATGTGTAAAATCTCGACATCGGCCATGGGCCGTGAGGTCGATTTCCTGCTTCGACCATAGGGCTCTGAGGGAGGTTGTCAGCCTTGGTTAAAGAATCATGCGTCGGGCTGACCGACTGATCGTGGATCAGGTTGACCGGAGAATTATTCATCAGATTGACCGAGGATTTGCAGGTTGATCCCCAAGTCCTTTGGTATTCTCCTGATCATTAGTGATAAAATATCATTAGTGGGCATGATAAAATCACGGTGTCATAATATATGCCAACTATAATATCATATATGCCTTGATAAAATAATAAAATTATTAAATAAAGCATGTACAATAATTCCGTAATTAAATATTAAATATTAATATTTATGAAGAATTTGCACTGATTCAAAATAAATATAAAATACTAATATTTATTAGGAAAGTGCATTTATTCATAACAAAATAAACCAAAATCACTATCTCACATAGACCTGTCAATGTTGCACACGGGTCGTTGACATGACACGAATTCGTAGGAAATTATCAGTATTTGGGTTAAGCTTAATGAATTTGGTTGAAAACAGGTAAACCCGTTAGCCACCCGTTAAGTTAACGGGTCGTGTCGGGTCCATTCGCGAATATTCGTTATCCACCCATTAAGGAGGGTAGTTTTGTAATTTTATATCACAATTCATATTAAAAACAAAACAAAACACCCACATAACTTCACTTTGTTTTTAATTATTCTTCTTCTCTCTCACCGAATCTCTCTATCTTCACTTTTTTTTTTATTCCTCTCTCTCTCTCTTCTTGTTTTCTTCTTCTTTCCCTAGCACAGTTTTCTTCTTCCTCTCTATTTTTTTTTCTTCTTCTTGCTGTTTCCCAAGTTTTCATCTTCTTTGTTTATATTTATTTCCTTCTCTCTTCTCTCTATGCTTCTTTCTCACAAGTACATTTCCTTCTCTCTCTTTTTAGAATTCAAATTTCTTTTCTTTAGATGTAAATGTGGAGAACCAGTGTCTTCACTGTCCGTCAATGTGGGTTGGGTTTTTGAGGGGTGGTTATGGTGTTTATGATATGGATATTTGGGGAGAGGACAGAGATAAGGGGTTGATGGCTAAGCTCGGTGATAGTTGTTGGTTTTTTTTTTTTCTAGTTTATTCTTAACGGCTCATGTTGGATATTCGCGAATTGTAACGGGTCGTGTTTGAGTCTAGTATTTGCCACCCGTTAACTTAACGGGTCGTGTTGTGTTAACCCGTTAAGTTAACGGATTGACACGAACACGATCGGAAACCCGTTAGCACGACCGTTTGCCAGTATCACACTAGTATCTAAGAAATTTGAACTAATCTTTAAAGAACTACAGAGACCAATTACTAAAATAACAAACCCAGAGAAATTTGAAGCTCGGAAAAGCTTTCGGCCAAGGTGAAACTCTCATGACTGTCCTTTCTAAATTCCAAACAACAAAAGATCACAAGCGCACACCAAATGCTCTTACCCAGAACTTAAATAACAACTTTAAACACCAAAACAAACCATAATCACTATCAACCCTGTATCTAATAAATTTTCAAATAACCTTTAAACTACAGAGAACATCTATTTGCAAAATAATAGCACAAAGAAGAAAAATAACTACACGGGCTGTTTACCTTTTGCAAAATAATATAAAATTAACCTTTAGACAAAAAAAGATAAAATAAAATCGACGTTTCAGCCCACAGTTTAATTCAATCAAGCCAAAACAATTGTATGCAAAAATTCACAAATTACAATTGGCTATAAGATTGGCATTGCACTAAAATTTGGACAGGGGCTGCGCGAACGCAAGCCCCCACAGCAACAAATTATGACATTGGCTCTCCACTTGAGGAGACCATAGGCAGGCACCCTTCCTAAGTGCAATGGAGGTCACCAACCTAGGACATGGGCCTTCTTGATCGCCCATGGACCCTGTCCAGGTAAGTATGTTTAAACATGCTCATCCTTTTGTATTTATACGTGCGCACCTCAACCCTTCAGCCTTTACTTGGGCGATGTGGGACAAGTACATGCATATTGGTTTTACTTATTGTGCTTGTATTGCAAAGCAAGTTCCCTGGTTTCAATGGTCGTTTGAAAGTTGCACTTGATTGCATGACAAATTCTAAATGGAGCATATTGTCTAACAGAGTAGTCGATTCGCTTATCTTCTGATTCAAATGTATTTTCTTGTTTGAAATATATAAGATTTACACCTTGAAGGGTATTTTTAACAAATTATATAGTGGCCGAACTTTTCATTTGTATTTTTCAATATCTTTTTATTTATACTTTTTCTGTTTAATATTTTATTTTACTAACTATCCTTTTTAGTATTCTAATTAGAAATATTTTAAAATGTCTTAATTTAGTTTGGTTTAAAGAAGATCATATTTTAAAATGTATGTTTTGTTAGGTGCAGAGATAAAATAAATAGATACCCCCAGTATCTTCAATGGTCCATGAGGAGACCCCCGACATGTTTACGAGTACAAAATAAAAAAGGCCATGACTTTGGGCCACCACAGGAACAGGAAATCCAAATAAAATAAGTCAGGAAATATATTCATCTAGCTTTGTTGGGGTGCGCCAGGCCCATGCTGTAGTGCAACGCTTGGGCGACACACGAGAGCCCCAGTAGCAAGCTACTGTAGTGGACCCTCCCTCTTAAAAAAATTAATTTAATATCATGTGGGCCATTGGACCACGTATCAGATATTAAACTGATAAGAACAGATACTACACTTGATCTTAGCCAAAAGGCCGAGAAAGGTATGATTGGAATAACTGCGTGTTTCGCATTTTATAAGCCATTCTGCTTCGCTGTTTTGCTCTCTAGTTCGATGTGGGACAAAATAACGCAAGGATATTTGATACATTCTCTCTCATCCCTTTCGTCCTCTTGTGCGTTAAGACAAATTCAACACATCAGTCATTTGGGTCAAATTACTAATTTGTATTTGATTGCTGTATTGGATGGTCCGGAGAAGAAGTTTGACAAAAAATAAAATAAAATTGATATCACTTAAAAAATATAAACATATGACACGGACAATAATGGAGGTGGCAATAATATATACTTCGACGTTGATGGATGGAAGCAGCAGCCACAACTGGAGCGACAGTTTTAGTTATTGGTGATAGAAATGATGGTGATGGTGGTGGGAAATCACGTTGCCTATTAAAATGTCGGTACGGTGTTATTACTGAGTTTGACTGGATATAGTATTTTTTTTTTTTTATACAAGCGATACTGAAAAGTGAAAATCGAATTTAGTATTTAATGTGCATAGTAAATATTTTTAACAATTTAAACTACAAGTGTCTTTCCTCTATAATTTTTTTTAATCCTAACTTCACATGGAAATTATTGAAACTCAATTGACGAGATATCTAAATTTCATCGAGACATAAAAGATGAAAACCCTAGCCCTCTCCCTCCAAGAAAACACTCTACAAACATTTTCACTTTGAAGGGGGAGGAAGCCATTGTTCTTTCTCCCTTTCTCCCTTTCTACCTTCTCCCATTTCCCCCCATTTTCAGAGACATAAGGTTTCTCCTATTTGTCTTCCTTTTGTAATGATTTCGGCTCAGCATCAGATCTGCACTACCATTCTTTTTGCAATTTCTTCATGTTTGAAATAAGTTAAAGAGACTCTTTGAGTTTTTTGTGTGTAGTTTTCACCTCTCATTTTGTGAGAGTTTTTCACCTTTCTTTGTGAGAGTTTTCCACATCTCTTTTATGAGAGTTTTATTTGTATTGTCATGGCTTGGTTTTTTCAAGTTTTATCTATTTTTGGTTGTTTTGAGTTTGCACTCTTAGTTGGAATGCTTATACCAGAGTTTCTTCAATTCTGCGTAATCGTTAGTGGAGGAGCCCCGTATTGTCTTCATTTTAATGTTAGATCGCTCCGTTATTGTAATGATCATTTGTGGCTAATTTGTATTGGGCCTTTGTGGCTAGTGGTTGTTTTGATTGAATTATAAATGCAATCCCAATATTAAAATAAATAAAAAAAAAAAAAAAAAAAAAAGAAGAAGACAGATTTCTAAATTTCATCCCACTCCAAAATGTTAAAAACTAAATGTGAACCATGCATTAATTTATGTCCAGCACACCAAACATGACATGCCATTAATATGAGCTGCACCCGAGTTGCTTGAGGCTGTGAACAAGTTGGCTAAGAATACCACACAAGTGAATCGAGGCCTACAACAAGTTTTGAGAAATTATAGTACCTATGCCACTACAAGTCACGTACATAAAATTAGACGATTTTTTTTGTTCGAAATCGGTAAGTTTTATTAATAGGAAGCCAAAACACTTACAATGTCATCCAGAATTTTAAATTTAGACTCACTCTGTCGAAATAGACCCATTTCATACCAAGTTCTTCAAAGCCAATGTCTCTTAGTAGATTTTCCTCATCCATTAGTTATTTGGTCGTAATCCTCATTCATTAGTTGGGTGTTGTAGAAAAGTAGTACAAGCTACACATGGATCTGGATCCAAAGTTCAGCCGACAAGCTTGACCACGTTCATTCAGACGGCCATTTTGTCTCAACCTTCTCCAACTCCCATGCTCTTACTTTACTCAATTGTAGATAAGTTTCAACTTTTGGGAAAGTGCTTCTTTCACTGCTTTTTGGCTTCAAGTTTGGTCAAATTTAAGCAAGTCAAACTCAAAGATATCTCACATGTCCTATAAAAATGCCCATTGCCTTTTACTTTACTGACTCCCAGTTTCTCCAAACCCATTTTGCCAAATTTGGAACTTCTTTCTCAGAAACCCAAAAACATGAACATCAAGAAGCTCTCCTTCCTCTTGCTTGTTATCCTCACCCTCCGGTGCCTCAAGCCCATCTCAGCAGCCTGCCACGTGGACGACGAAGCAGGTCTACTTGCCTTCAAATCGGGCATCACAGCTGACCCATCCAACAAGCTCAGCTCATGGAAACCGGGTACGGACTGCTGCACATGGGCGGGCATAAACTGCTTAAACAACCGGGTCACAAGCCTCTCTCTCGGGGGTCAACCCGACCAACCCAACACCTTCTTAGCGGGTAAAATCTCACCCTCTCTCTCAAAACTCAAGTTCTTAGGCGGCATATATCTCCAAAACCTCAACCTCTCGGGTCCATTCCCGGATCTCCTATTTGGGCTGCCCAACCTCCAGTACGTCTACATCGAACACAACAGGCTCTCGGGTCGGATACCCGATAAGATCGGCAACTTGACCCAGCTCGGTGCACTCAGTTTTTATTACAACCAGTTCACTGGTCCAATACCGAGCTCAATCTCCAAGTTGACTCGGTTGACGCAGCTCAACCTGGGCGGCAACCTCTTAACCGGTTCGATACCGTACGGCATTAAAAACCTCAAGAACCTCTTCCCGCAACAAATTTTCCGGGAAAATCCCAGCTTCAATTTCAGCTTTGGCGCCAAAACTGGCTTACCTTGAGCTCGGTCACAATGCCCTGACGGGTCAAATCCCAGATTTCCTTGGAAATTTCAAGGCCCTTGACACCCTTGATCTCTCATACAATGGCTTCTCGGGAATTGTGCCCCAGAGATTTGTGAATTTGACCAAGATTTTCAACCTTGATCTTTCTCATAATTATCTCACCGACCCATTTCCACAATTGTACGTGAAGGGCATCGAGTCCCTCGATTTGTCTTACAACAGCTTCCATTTGAACCAAATTCCCAAATGGGTTACTTCATCGCCAATCATTTACTCTCTGAAGCTTGCAAAGTGTGGGATTAAGTTGAAATTGGAGGACTGGAAGCCTGCAGAGACGTATTTCTATGATTTCATAGATTTATCCGAGAACGAAATTACGGGCAGTCCGATTGGGTTGCTTAACAAGACTGATTTCTTGGTGGGTTTTTCGGCTTCTGGAAATAAGTTGAAGTTCAATCTGGAGAGCTTGAGGATTGTGAAGACGTTGAAGCAATTGGACTTGTCCAGGAATTTGGTTTTTGGGAAAGTGCCCAGTGGAGTTTCAGGGCTTGACAGATTGAATGTGAGCCACAACCATCTGTGTGGACCAATTCCAGCCACCAAGTTTGCTGCTTCAGCGTTTTTGGGGAACGATTGTCTTTGTGGTGCTCCACTGGCAGCGTGTAAGTAGAGGAAGATTGCCTTGCCACATAACAAGAAGCTTGAAGGAAATAAAACCTTGCCTAGAGAGCACATAACAAGAAGCTTGAAGGAAATAAAGGGCAGGAAGAGAGAAGTTAGGGTCATTATAGTTGATCTTGGGAGAAGAAACGGAGCAATGTCTCTCTCCTTATCTTGTATGTCAATTTAGAGTTAATCTTATTAGCAGTTGAAACAAAGGCAAAGGGAAAGGTAATGAAAAAATCAATGAACTTTGTTGTTGGAGGAACCTGAACTCATAGACTGGGAGTATTATCTTATAACAATATTGTTTGTCAGTGATGAATGATACTTGAGCAACAAGCACTTACAGAATCTTTGTTAAGGCAAAGACGTCTGAGTTTACACTCACGTAGTTCTGATCTTTTCTTGAAAATTTTATCTTCATAAGCACCAACAAGAAGAATAAATTTCTCAACCCTGGATAGTTTGATGTATCCTGATTTCTTGTCATTGACCTGCTTTTGAGCATAAAAGAAGTGGCATGGTCATGATCTTATCTACATTTTTTTTTTCCAGGGTGAAGAAATGTAACTAAAACAAGGCTAATCATGTTATACCCGGAGCATATCAACCATATAACCCCCGAGATTTTTGAATTCCTTCTTATAGACAGTCGTCAGCAAGTCAATTGCACCCTGGAAATAAGTAGTTATAATAAAAAATTAGTTTCGAGCTTCATATTGTATTCCCATCAGTAACGTTGTTTCCGTTATGAATTATGAATGAAAGTATTATGATTTCATTTTCAATGTTGTTTCCTGGCTCCGCCACTGCCCATGACTGTCCTCTGTAAATTCCAAACAACAAAAGATCACTAGCGCACACCAAATGCTCTTACCCAGAACTTAAATAACAACTTTAAACACCAAAACAAACCATAATCACGATCAACCCTGTATCTAATAAATTTTGAAATAACCTTTAAACTACAGAGAACATCTATTTGCAAAATAATAGCACAAAGAAGAAAAATAACTACACGGGCTGTTTACCTTTTGCAAAATAATATAAAATTAACCTTTAGACAAAAAAAATTAAAATAAAATCGACGTTTCAGCCAACACAGTTTAAGTCAATCAAGCCAAAACAATTGTATGCAAAAAATTCACAAATTACAATTGGCTAGGAAGAATTGTTGCCCTTGAGAATAAAAATAACAATTGGCTATAAGATTGGCAATGCACTAAAATTTGGACAGGGGCTGCGCGAACGCAAGCCCCCACAGCAACAAATTATGACATTGGCTCTCCTACGTGAGGAGACCATAGGCAGGCACCCCTCCTTAGTGCAATGGAGGTCACCAACCTAGGACATGAGCCTTCTTGATCGCCCATGGACCCTGTCCAGGTAAGTATGTTTAAACATGCTCATCCTTTTGTATTTATACATGCCCACCTCAACCCTCCAGCCTTTACTTGGGCGATGTGGGACAATTACACGCATATTGGTTTTACTAATTGTGCTTGTATTGCAAAGCAAGTTCCCTGGTTTCAAACGCATATTGGTTTTACTAATTGTGCTTGTATTGCAAAGCAAGTTCCCTGGTTTCAATGGTCGTTTGAAAGTTGCGCACTTGATTGCATGACAAATTCTAAAGGGAGCATATTGTCTAACAGAATGGTCGATTCGCCTATCTTCTGACTCAAGAAAATACCAACGTATTTTCTTGTTTGAAATATATAAGATCTACAGCTTGAAGGGTATTTATTACAAATTATATAGTGACCAAAATTTTCATTTGTATTTTTTAACATCTTTTTATTCCGTATTTTACTTTTAGTATTCTAATTAGGAATATTTTAAAATGTTTTAGGTTAATATTTTAAAATGTTTTAGGTTAGTTAGTTTACTTACTCTTCAAAGTTACATAAAAAGTTGTCGAGAGCAGGTACCACAGTGGTGGCCTCCCCCCTCCCCCCTGCTTGACACCCAGGTTCGAAACCCCAAGGGGTTTCTTTCCTCCCAATGTAACCAAAAAAAAAGTTACATAAAAAGTTGGGTGTAGAGATCAAAATGTATGTTTTGTTAGGTGCAGAGAAAAAATAAAGGCTAAATAGAAAACCCCAGTATCTTCTATGAGGAGACCCCCGACATTTTCGCGACTACAAAATTAAAAAGGATGATATTTTGGGCCAACACGGTAACTGAAAATCAAAATAAAATAAGTCATGAAAAAATTTCAACTAGCTTTGTTGGGGTGCGCCAGGCCCAAGCTGTAGTGCAACGCTTGGACGACACACGAGAGCCCCAGTAGCAAGCTACTGTGATGGACCCTTCCCCTAAAGAAATTAATTTAATATCGTGTGGGCCATTGGCCCACGTATCAGATATTAAACTGATAAGAACAGATACTACACTTGATCTTAGCCAAAAGGCCGAGAAAGGTATGAATTGAACATCTGCGTGCTTTGCATTTTATAAGCCATTCTGCTTCGCTGTTTTGCTCTCTAGTTCGATGTGGGACAAAATAACGCAAGGATATTTGATACATTCTCTCTCATCCCTTTCGTCCTCTTGTGCGTGAAGGCAAATTCAACACATCAGTCATTTGGGTCAAATTCCTAATTTGTATTTGATTGCTGTATTGGATTGGATTGATATCACTTAAAAAATATAAACATATGACAAGGACAGTAGTGGAGGTGGCAATAATATATAGTTCGACGTTGATGGATGGAAGCAGCAGCCACAACTAGGGCGACAGTTTTGGTGACTGGTGATCGAAATGATGGTGATAGTGGAGGGAAATCACGTTGCCTATCAAAATGTCGGTAGGGTGTTATTACTGAGTTTGACTTGTTATCATATATATATATTTTTTATACAAGCAATACTGAAAAGTGGGAATTGAACTTAGGATTTAATGTGCATGGCAAATATTTTTAACAATTTAAACTACAAGTCTCTTTCTTCTATAATTTCTTTTTATACTAACTTCACGTGGAAATTATTGAAACTCAACTAACAAGATATCTAAATTTCATCAAAACATAAAAGATGAAAATCCTAGCCCCCTTTCTCCAAGAAAACACTCTACAAACATTTTCACTTTGAGGGGGGAGGAAGCCATTGTTCTTCCTCCTCTCTCTCTTTCTCCCTTTTTACCTTCTTCCATTTCCCCCCATTTTCAAAGACAGAAGGTTTCTCCTATTTGTTTTCGTTTTGTAATGATTTCGTTTCGGCGTCAGATCTCCACCACCTTCATATTTGGAATAAGTCTAAAAAACTCTTTAAATTTTCTATATAGTTTTCACCTCTCCCTTTGTAAGAGTTTTTACCTTTCTTTGTGAGAGTTTTATTTGTATTGTTATGACTTGGTTTTTTCAATCTTTATCTATATTTGGTTGTTCTTAGTCTGAACTCTTAGTTGGAATGCTTATGTCAGAGTTTCTTCGATTCTGCGTGATCGTTAGTGAAGGAGCTCATATTGTCTTTATTTTGATATTAGATCACTCCGTTATTGTAATGACCCTTCGTAGCTAGTTTGTTTTGCCCTTTGTGGCTAGTGGCTTTTTTACTTGAATTATGAATGTAATTCCAAAATTTCAAATAAAATAAAAAAAAAGATTTCAAAATTTTATCCCAGTCCAAAATGTTAAAAACTAAATGTCAACCATGCATTAATTTATGTCCAGCACACCAAACATGACATGCCATGTCTTCTTAAATATGAGCTGCACCCGAGTTGCTTGAGGAGGCTATGAACAAGTTGGCCAAGAATACCACACAAGTGAATCGAGGCCTATAACAAGTTTTGAGAAATTTTAGTGCCTATGCAACTACATGTCACGTACATAAAATTGGTGGTTCACATACATACTAACAATTAATTTTCTGATAATTTCTATTAATAATAGTGTTAAGTCAATTGCGCGCATAACTGATTTAGACGATTTTTTTTGTTTGAAATCGGTAAGTTTTATTAATAGGAAGCCAAAACACTTACAATGTCATCCAGAATTTTAAATTTAGACTCACTCTGTCGAAATAGACCCATTTCATACCAAGTTCTTCAAAGCCAATGTCTCTTAGTAGATTTTCCTCATCCATTAGTTATTTGGTCGTAATCCTCATTCATTAGTTGGGTGTTGTAGAAAAGTAGTACAAGCTACATATGGATCTGGATCCAAAGTTGAGTCGACAAGCTTGACCACGTTCATTCAGACGGCCATTTTGTCTCAACCTTCTCTGACTCCCATGCTCTTACTTTACTCGATTGTAGATAAGTTTCAACTTTTGGGAAAGTGCTTCTTTCACTGCTTTTTTGCTTTAAGTTTGGGTCAAATTTAAGCAAGTCAAACTCAAAGATATCTCACATGCCCTATAAAAATGCCCATTTGCCTATTACTCAACTCCCAGTTTTTCCAAACCCATTTTGCCAAATTTGGAACTTCTTTCTCAGAAACCCAAAAACATGAACATCAAGAAGCTCTCCTTCCTCTTGCTTGCTATCCTCACCCTCCGGTGCCTCAAGCCCATCTCAGCAGCCTGCCACGTGGACGACGAAGCGGGTCTACTTGCCTTCAAATCGGGCATCACAGCTGACCCATCCAACAAGCTCAGCTCATGGAAACCGGGTACGGACTGCTGCGCGTGGGCGGGCATAAACTGCTTAAACAACAACCGGGTCACAAGCCTCCGTCTCGGGGGTCAACCCGACCAACCCAACACCTTCTTATCGGGTAAAATCTCACCCTCCCTCTCAAAACTCAAGTTCTTAGACGGCATATATCTCCAAAACCTCAACCTCTCGGGTCCATTCCCGGATCTCCTATTCGGGCTGCCCAACCTCCTATTCGTCTACATCGAACACACCAGGCTCTCGGGTCGGATACCCGATAAGATCGGCAACTTGACCCAGCTCTTTTCACTCAGTTTTTATTACAACCTGTTCACCGGTCCAATCCCGAGCTCAATCTCCAAGTTGACTCGGTTGTCGCAGCTCAACCTGGGCGGCAACCTCTTAACCGGGTCGATACCGTACGGCATTAAAAACCTCAATAGCCTCAACCTGTTCAATCTCGAGCGAAACGGTTTGTCGGGTCTCATACCCGATTTCTTCAGCTCATTTTCGGAGCTCCGAATTCTCAGGCTTTCCCGCAACAAATTTTCCGGGAAAATCCCAGCTTCAATTTCAGCTTTGGCGCCAAAACTGGCTTACCTTGAGCTCGGTCACAATGCCCTGACGGGTCAAATCCCAGATTTCCTTGGAAATTTCAAGGCCCTCGACACCCTTGATCTCTCATACAATGGCTTCTCGGGAATTGTGCCCCAGAGATTTGTGAATTTGACCAAGATTTTCAACCTTGATCTTTCTCATAATTATCTCACCGACCCATTTCCACAATTGAAAGTGAAGGGCATCGAGTCCCTCGATTTGTCTTACAACAGCTTCCATTTGAACCAAATTCCCAAATGGGTTACTTCATCGCCAATCATTTACTCTCTGAAGCTTGCAAAGTGTGGGATTAAGTTGAAATTGGAGGACTGGAAGCCTGCAGAGACGTATTTCTATGATTTCATAGATTTATCCGAGAACGAAATTACGGGCAGTCCGATTGGGTTGCTTAACAAGACTGATTTCTTGGTGGGTTTTTCGGCTTCTGGAAATAAGTTGAAGTTCAATCTGGAGAGCTTGAGGATTGTGAAGACGTTGAAGCAATTGGACTTGTCCAGGAATTTGGTTTTTGGGAAAGTGCCCAGTGGAGTTTCAGGGCTTAACAGATTGAATGTGAGCCACAACCATCTGTGTGGACCAATTCCAGCAACCAAGTTTGCTGCTTCAGCGTTTTTGGGGAACGATTGTCTTTGTGGTGCTCCACTGGCAGCATGTCAGTAGAGGAAGATTGCCTTGCCTTGCCTAGCGAGCACATAACAAGAAGCTTGAAGGAAATAAAGGGCAGGGAGAGAGAAGTTAGGGTCATTATAGTTGATCTTGGGAGAAGAAACGGTGCAATGTCTCTCTCCTTATCTTGTATGTCAATGTAGAGTTAATCTTATTAGCAGTTGAAACAAAAGCAAAGGGAAAGGTAACGAAAAAATCAATGAACTTTGTTGTTGGAGGAACCTGAACTCATAAACTGGGCGTATTATCTTATAACAATATTTTTAACATAACAAATTGGGATTCATATAATCTCATCATCATCTTCTTCTTCTTCTTCATCTCTACCAGCCTATACAAAATGAGATATGCACATGATGCCATCCATTAGTATACAAACAGAGGTATACCATGCTCACACAACCTCAGATCAATCAATATATATTCTGTGAGCATTCTTCATATCAATCAATACATTATACATACATTCTTGCATACAACTGGGGAATTATGTATACAACGCTTCTCTCACAAATATCCGAAACACGAGACTTGGACAAATATCATGTGCAGAATCACCATAAAGCTAATAACGCAGAGGATCACCAATAATCTCCACAAGAGCATATGCCGGCGGCAAAATGGTGGAACCGCTTAGAGTCTCGAATTATGATAGTTCGCTTCTCGATCAAGGATATGAGTTTTGCAGTGCTGTGACAGTCACCACAGATTCTAAGGTTCTTAGTAATAATTATTGGCATGCCAGCATTAGTCACCAGAAGCCCAAATGCAATGGCTAGTTTCTCACTGTGCTTACTGATCATATCTTCTTTCACTGCCTGTTCAACATCATGAAGAATAAACTCCGTTTTCGACACGAATCCTGCCTCCCGAATCTTTCCTATCACTTCTTCCAATTTGGTGTATATCTTCTCTGACTCCGGATGAGATCGATCACCCACGGAAAATCTATGAATTTTATTTCCATGTTCGATAAAACTGCATCCAGGGTTTCTGGTGAGACCTTTCTCCTTCATCAAAGCCCTCACCTTTGAAGCATCTCTCCACAAACCAGCTGCAGAGTACATATTTGATAGCATGATATAGTTTCTGGAATCTGATGGGTCCAAAGAAAATAATCTCTCTGCTACTTCCTTCCCAAGTTCAATGTTGCCATAAACCCTACAAGCACCGAAAAGGGCCCCCCAAACGGCAGAGTTTGGCTTCAATGGCATACGTTTAATCAGCTCATAAGCATCATTCAGAAGCCCAGAGCGACCCAGGAGATCAACCATGCATGAATAGTGATCCAACCTAGGCTCAATTCCATAAACTTGAGACATAATGTCGAAGTAATTCTTTCCCTCCTTGACAAGCCCTGAATGGCTACAAGCACTTAGCAAATGAGTGAAAGTGACGTGATCAGGCTCCACACCCGCCTTAACCATGCCTTCAAAGAGCTCCATTGCTTCTCTCCCATTCCCATGCACAGCATAGCCTGCAAGCATTGCAGTCCAAGCTACTTTGTCGGGATTATTTACCTCCCGGAAAACCTTCAGTGAATAATTTAATCTCCCCAACTTTGCATACAAATCTAGCAGTCCAGTTGCAACTGTGGCATTTGCATAGAGACCGCATTTCGTTATCAAACCATGGACACCCTCTGCTAGTTTCAGTAAACCTAGATTCTCACAAGCTTCAAGCAAGGACAGCACAGTGCCATCATCAGGATTAATTCCAGCCCTTCTCATGAGATTAAAATAACCCACTCCATCTGCTGCAGTCCCATTTTGAGCATGAGATGCAATCATTAAATTCCATGATACTATATTCCCTACAGGCATTGTCTCAACCAATCGACAAACTGCATCCAAATAGCCTGACTTTCCGTACAAATTAATAAGAGAATTAACAAGCTTAACTTCCCACAGCACACCCAATTTCAGTGCAAAGCCATGAATGTACTTTCCTTCATCAACAGCTTCCCTGCTAGCACAAGCAGAGGTTATAGATATAAGTGTAACTTCATTGGGTTCTATTCCCATTTCAAATTTCATCCTAAAAAATGCATCCAAGCATTTATCTACATACCCTCTTCGCGCAAACCCCGAAATTAAAGAATTCCAGGAGACCAAGTCCTTGTTGGGCATTTCATCGAACATGTTGCGTGCATCATCTGCACGACCCAATCTAGCGTAACAAGAAACAAGCTGATCGCCAATGAACCCATCAGTATAATTGAAAGATTTGATGACGCAGGAGTGAATTGCACGGCAATAGGAGATTGAAGAGCAGGAGCTTACAGCAGAAATTAGATATGAAAGAAGAATGTCTGGATTTGGATGCGAGGGGAATTGGACAGAGGACTGGGGAGAAAGAAGAGCATTGTGAAATCTTTTCTGGGTGAAGAGTTTGCAGAAACGTTGTGGGTTTTGAATTTGATGGAAGTAGAAGAAAGTTCTGGACTTGAAGAGAAAGCCGGGGAGAGACTGGAGAGAGGGTAACAGAGATGATGAACAAGAAGCTACTGTTATCATCTCCCATCATTCAATCTTCGCTTGCTTGATGTATTTCTTGTATAGAGTTAAATTAATGATGGTAGCTGTTAAACCACAAGGAAGGGAAATGGAAATGAACAAGACGATGAACTTGTCTGTTGTGTGGTAAAAACACAGTTAGCAACAGTACCAGAAAAACAAGACGATGAACTTGTCTGGATTATGGCATTCTGCAAGATGGCACATGTTTTTTTTTTTTTGGGGGTACATTTTTATGATACAATTTTACTATACAATATGGATTGAGCAGTAGCCCCTATAGCTGTCCCATTTCTTGGAGGCTAATGTTGAAGCCAATTCTTGTTTTTATTATATTATTTTAATTAATGGAAACGGCTAGCATCCGCATGAAGTTATAGTTATGATTTCATCAACATATACAAAAATAATACATGTCCACTGGATATGGAAATCTCACCTAAGACCTGTTCTGAGATTAAAACAAAAACAAGAAAAATAGATGACTGAACAAAGAATAAATGAATTATCTTCCTCAAGGCTTGTATCGTACAATAAACGAGTGCATGTGTATTGTCAACACCATTACACAATTCATCTTCCATCAATTTCTCTGAGAAAACAGTAGTAGAATGATACATTATCTGCTCAATTTAACAGACTCAAGAGATCCAATAAATGACAATAAAAAAACTGCTCCTATAACACAACAATAACAATCAACCCTTACATATGCAGTAAGCAACAATCGATCACTCTAACGGGTCAAACCGTAGCACCGTGGGATTTGTATCACCACAGTGGGCAGAGGTGACCAATCTGGAATGTTTCGAAAAATCAACAAAGTTTCAAGTATGACTATGGCTTGGTGGATCTAAACCCTGCAATAACTAGACCCCAAGTCAAGGTTGCATTTACAAATATATTACACAAGCTCAACACCCGTAGCTGGTAATGCGCTCATTTGCAATGCTCTACCATTTCCAACAAACCGTACAGATGAGGGATCAGTAACGGATTCAATCTCAAGAAAACTGAAATCATATGCGCCAGATCGCTTCAAACTGAACACAGAAACAAGCACAATCCATCCCAACATGGAAACTGCCCAGTAGTTGTTCATACCATGAATTAAACCCCATGCAATAGCATACCCAACAACAATTCCAGATAAATGACCGATAAAACTTGCTTGAGGAACGATGATTGAAGTAAAAATAAGTGACTCAAATGGTGCAAAACTAATGGGAAGTGAAAGAAATCCAAAAAGATGCAACTTCGATGTGGGTTGCTTGACAGAAAGAATCGTCATCCACCCAAAAACAACACAAGAATACCCAACAGCGGTAACTCTCCGAAAATACTCAATCTTGAATTTTTGGATTAAGATATGGTACATCCCCAAGACTAGCGCTCCGGATAGTACAACCAAGACAAGTGTGTACTGCAGATAATATTCCATCCCGAGACCTATAGGCCCCAACTTTTCTACTACCCCAAGACTCCAAAGTGCACTCATATTGAAAACAAGATGAAGAATGCTTATATGAGAAAAAGCTGAAGTTATAATCCTCCAATGGTGCCCTGCAATGGCAGTTTCATAACTCAAGCCCACATGTGAATACCCAATGTTTTTCTTCTGTATGTAGAACCAAATTGCACTGCATATTCCTATGAAACAACTCGTGGCTGGTTTTTCCAAGATCTCGAAAACCAATGGCCTACCCATCTATAATATATTTCTTAAGGATGCTTCAAACTCAATTATATAATCTCAATACGACAATTCCCACAATGGTAATAAGCTGCTGAAGAATCAAGACCACTTTTGCACTACCAAACATGACAGATATTTAGAGCTCCCTAATAGTTTATATATGAAAGGGCTTTCTCGAAACCCCAGAACTGTTTCAGAAACTACTCAGAGTTCACGAATTTAAGAATTCCCGGATAAAAAATCTTCAATAAAACGTGAAGATTCACACAACCCACCATCCAAAATGTGCACAAGACACCAATCCAAGAAATGGGTGGGAACTTTGAGAATCAATCCAAAACCACTTCCTCGATGAATTTAGTAAGTTGCATGAAATTTCATGCACAACAAGGAGAATCCTAGCTTCAGAGAAATATTAAATTTCATACGCTTAGACCTTGAGGCAATGAAATTAGGTTCCTGAAAGATCAATGAATCAGAGTAATTCGGATTTTGCAGACATATAACTTACTCACCTATTAACAAAAACATAAAAGGAAAAGGAAAAAACAGTAAAGATGCGTCTGAAGGGCACCAGAGGCACAAAACAAAATTTCAAGATAAAAGAAAAACAGTAAAGCTGCATACATTCCAACCACATAGAACAATAAAAAATCAATTCTTTATACAAGGAGAAAATTTATTATTAGTGAAATTTTTTAAGAAAGGTGTAAATGAAATCAATGTCGACTAACAGATGACAAAGAAGAATCTCATATTAGAGATTTTTCTGGTCTGATAGAGAGTAATTGAAATAAACCCAAATCAATACATCCATGGACTTGAACTTGTATAAAAACCCTAACCTATCCCAAATCAAGATACCTGAGTGAGGGGGCAGGTGCTGTGTTGTAAAGAAGATCTGCGCGCGCTCTAGGAGGAAGCAGCGAAAATCAATCTCTGTCCATAAAATGAGGCTGCTATTTCTATAGAGATGAGAAAGACAGAAGAAAGGAAATGGGGACTTAAGGAGGAAGTGACAGAGACGATGATGGGCTAGAAGGTCTGTGAGTTTTCCAGGTCTCTTTTTTTAAAACTTTAATTTTTATTTAATTTTTATTTTTTTAATGATTTTTTTATTGAAAGAGACCCTAATATACTAAATGGTTATTTACTCAAATGATCTTCAAACTTATACTCGAGTTGTATTTTGATCCCTCAATTAAATTATTCATTCAAATGGTCTATCAACTCTTTATTAATCAGCGCACTAGTCCTACCGTTACATTCTGTTAATCTTGTCGTCAAATATAGGGGTAAAAGGTCCAGTTAAATAAAATAGTAAATAAATTTAAAACTAAAAATCAAAAGCAAAAAAAACCTATCTCCTACTTCCCAGCCCCCAGCCCGATAATCAATGCCCTCTCTCTTCCCCTCCCGCTATGTCCCCTCCTCCTCTCTCCCTCTATCTCCCTCTCTTCAAACGTTTATTAGGGTTGCAAGTGTTGGCGAGTCCTATTCTATTTGGGTTTTATTTATTTTTCCTTTGTGTAGATATTATGTAATTAGGATTCCACTTATTTCCTAATTAAACCCTACTAGGGTTTGTAACCTGTATTATAAATACCTCCTTTCGGAGAATGAAATAGATCTGAAAATATTCTACCATATTGTTTGACTTGGTATCAGAGCCGACTTTCTGGTGACCTGTGTGTGTTGTGCCCAGCCGTGTTCTACTCTGTGCCCTAATTTCTTTTTTAGGGTTCTTGTGCCCGTGCCTGTGCTGTGTTTATCGTATCTGCTTTGTGTTGTGTTTGTTTCCGCTGCTATCTATCATGGGTGATGATTCCATAATTGTGACTGGTACTAGTGCATCTACACCGAAGGAGGCACGTCCCTCGCGTGATTACTCTACCCCGATTACATCTGACAAATTGGATGGCTCCAATTATGCCTCTTGGTCTCGTGGTGCGCGTATTACAATTACTAGTCGTCGTATGGCAAGTTGGATCAATGGGAAGAAGCCTGCTCCGTCTCAAGACTCCGCTGACTATACCGAATGGGAAGAAGATAATTGTCTGGTGCAGTCATGGCTTCTAAATTCCATGACTAAACCAGTTCGTGCCTTGTTTGAACATGGTGATACTGCTTTTGATATATGGGAGGCTGCTCGGAAGACCTATACTGTGACTCAGAATAGTTCTCGTTTGTTTCAACTCCGACGGCAATCCATACTTATAGGTCAGAATGGTGAATCTGTGAAAGTGTTCTATGAAAAACTTCATGCTATCTGGCAAGAGATTGATTGTCTGCGTCCGCATGAGTTTAATTGTTCTACTGATGGGGCTCGTCGTCTGAAAGAAATTGAAGCCGATCGAGTTTATGATTTTCTTGGTGGGCTAGATCCACCGTATGATGGTGTTCGTAGCCGTATTCTTGCTCTTAGTCCTGTTCCACCCCCTCTCGAAGCCTATGCCATGGTCATGGAGGAAGATACCCGTCAGTCCGCTATGCTTGGAGGAGGATCGCTGGCTCTTAAGGTGGATCCAGCACGTCACCGACCGGTCGCCCCGCAAGTAGCGACCGGTCGCCCGCCGCAAAAAAAGTTTGGATCTTCTGCTGGGTTTTGTCCTTCTGCCTCCCCCTCTCTTGAAGGTCCACCTAAGTGCCGCCATTGTAATGGGGATCATTACTCTGAAAAGTGTTTTAAGGAGCATGGTTACCCTGATTGGTTTGCTGACTACAAAGCTCGTATGTATGGTCCCAAGGCCACTTACACTGTGACTCCTGATGAGGCCCGTCCTCCAACTCCATCTGCAAATCTGTGTGCTTCTGATACTATGCCAGGTATGGGTTCTACTACTTGGATAATTGACACTGGTGCTTCTGATCATATGACTTATAATGATAAACTGTTTGATGAGTTGTTGCATAACCCTCGTGACCCATATATTACTAGTGCTAATGGTTTACCTTCCCCAGTTACCGGTGAAGGTACCATCCATCTTACTCCTTCTTTACCCCTATCTCATGCACTCTTGGTTCCCAATATTCATTGCAATTTGTTATCTGTTGGGCGTTTTCTTGATACACTTAACGCTTCTGCTACCTTCTATTCTACCCATTGTTTTTTCCATGATCTCATGACTCACGAGAAGATTGGGCATGGTAAACGGATAGGGGGGTTATATTACTTACAGTTGCCGGCTGCAGCAGTTCGTGATTGTGTCGCTAATAAAGCTCTGAGTGGCAGTGTCAAGGACAAGCACCAACTTTGGTTATGGCATCGTCGCTTAGGACATCCGTCTTTTGGTTATCTTAGACATTTGTTTCCTTCATTATTTAGTTCATGTGATGAGTCTAGTTTCAAATGTGAGACTTGTGTAATGGCCAAGAGC